TACAAATATTTTTTATTATCTTTCAACAATGCTTCTATCACTACGCGCCATGTTTTGCCTAGTGACACAAAGGTGCCATTTTCTTCACGCTTGTTTACAATTTTTATTTTGTTTCCTTCATTATTGTTCTTTTCTTTTTTGTTTTTTGATTTCTTTCTACACAAACTTTTTTCCAACGTTTTTTTGTTTTTATTTTTAACCAAAGGTCATACAAACAAATTTGCATGTTTACTTATTATATGTCTCCTTGTGGCTGGTTCAAATATTGCTTTACATGTCTCTCTATGTCTTGAAAATGGCTAATTCAATAGAGCAATATCGAGCTGCAATCGGACTTTTCTATTGTAAATGTAGATGTACATCAAAATCATTGCTATTCTACGTACTACGATTTAATGATTTTGTTTGCTCTTTTATTGAGTGTCTTAATTATATTTGGAACAAGAGGCCCACGGGCCTTATAGGTCACCTGAGCATCATGCAACAACTTTCAAATGATTGAATTTGTTTCATGTTTTAAGCTAGATGCTAAGGCATTCATAATTTTGGAAGAGGCACTCTTGCTCAATATAACTATGTACTTAGTTAGTTTATTTAAAACCTAGGAGCAGAGAAGAAGATTTTCAAAGATTTAATGTATTTTCACTATATAATCAATAGAGCCCCGCCCTAACACCAGAACCCCTGACCCTGGGGCCATAAAATTCACAATTTTGGTAGAGGCACTCTTGCTCATCATAACTATGTACTTAGTTAGTTTATTTAAAACCTAGGAGCAGAGAAGAAGATTTTCAAAGATTTAATGCATTTTCACTGTATAATCAATAGAGCCCCGCCCTTACACCAGAACCCCTGACCCTGGGGCCATGAGTTTCACAATTTTGGTAGAGGCACTCTTGCTCATCATAACTATTTACTTAGTTAGTTTATTTAAAACCTAGGAGCAGAGAAGAAGATTTTCAAAGATTTAATACATTTTCACTATATAAACAATAGAGCCCTGCCCTAACACCAGAACCCCTGACCCTGGGGCCATGAATTTCGCAATTTTGGTAGAGGCACTCTTGCTCATCATAATTATTTACTGAATTAGTGCATTTAATACCTAGGAGCAGAGAAGAAGACTTTCAAAGATTAAATGCATTTTCACTATATAATCAATAGAGCCCCGCCCCAACACCAGAACCCCTGACCCTGGGGCCATGAGTTTCACAATTTTGGTAGAGGCACTCTTGCTCATCATAACTATGAACTTAATTTGTTTATTTAATACCCAGGAGCAGAGAAGAAGATTTTTAAAGACTTACTGCATTTTCACTACATAATCAATAGAGCCCCGCCCTAACACCAGAACCCCTGACCCTGGGGCCATGAATTTCACAATTTTGGTAGAGGACTCAATGCTGATTACAATCATACCAACAGTTTGACTGCTTGATGTCCGGGAGTAAAGAAGAAGATTTTTAAAGATTGCACTATTTTTAGTGGTTTTTGCCCCACCCCCCAGGCCCCAGGGGGGCGGGGACCACCAAATTCACAATTTTTGTTCCCCTTCACCCATAGATGCTATATGCCAAATTTGGTTGAAATTGGTTCAGTGGTTTCAGAGAAGAAGCTGAAAATGTTTAAATGTTAACGCACGACGGACGACGGACGACAGACGACGGACGACGACGGACAAAAACGGATAGCAATAGGTCACCTGAGTTTACTCAGGTGACCTAAAAATACCAAATGCTTATTGTCAAAAGGGGCACAAGAAAACATTTTTCTAAATTATGTGTTTCAAATTATGTACTTCCTTATTTTGTTGTCAGGCGACATAGAGACAAATCCGGGGCCATCTCAAAGTATACAATCCACACTAGACATTTTTCATTTAAATGTGAGAAGCATTAGAAACAAGTTTGATAAGTTTCTGAGTATTGTGTCAGATTTCGATATTTTATGTTTCACAGAAACCCATCTTGATGCTAACATTTTAAATGAAGACATTGCTATTGAAGGATTTAACTCAATTTTTCGTAAAGATAGAAACTCTCATGGGGGCGGTGTAATTATATATGCATCTTACTCGTTGCGTTCTAATAGACGCCTTGATCTTGAACCTGTTAACCTTGAATGTGTATGGATAGAAATTAGCGATCCTACCTGCAATATCTTGCTCTGTTGTGTTTATCGTCCTCCTAACTCCGATAATTCCTTTTGGAAAAAATTCGAATGGTCTCTTGAAAAAGCTGTTGATATATCCGATAGAATTTTAGTCATTGGTGACCTAAATGTAAACTTTTTAAATCTTCAAATCACACATGTAGTCAACGAAATTCTTTAAAATACTCCTTTCAAAACACAGTATGCGACGCTACTAGAGTCACGAAAAACGAAATCTCTCATAGACCCAATTCTTGTAAGCGAAAATTTACATGCCGATGTACTGGAATCGGGGACAATAGATGTAGAACAATCTCTTAGCGATCACAAAGCCACATACATATATCTTAAATCACATACAATACAAGCACAATCATATGAAAGGAAAATATGGCTATATAAAAATGCAGATTTTGAAACACTGAACACACTCATACGCAATACAGATTGGAATACACTTATTAATGACGCTAAAGATATAGAACAGGCGGAGAGTAATTTCTCAACAAGTTTTTTAAATCATGTTAAAAATTGTATTCCCGAAAAAACAGTAACGATTAGGCCTAAAGATAAACCCTGGTTCGATTCCGCATTACGAAAAACAGTTCGACAGAGAAATCGTGCAAGAGACAAAACCCACAAAACCAAAAAAGAATTAGATAAGGATAAGTTTTAAAAACTACGTAACAAAGTGAATAACATGAAAAAAGTAGCGATGGCAAACTATTACAACAATATTGAAACCAATCTTATCGAAGCTAGCATCAAAAATTCTAAAATTTATTGGAAATTAAAAGATGTTTTTAAAACCAAGACTAGGTCCGATATTCCACCGCTACAGGACACTACAGAAAATGGAAATGTACATATTACTTACAGTGATATTGACAAGGTTGAAGCGTTAAACAGCTATTTTGCCTCGATTTCGTCTTCGCATGATGTCGAACCCGAATTACCTACCTTTTCTTTATTGTGCAATAGTGTTCTTAATAGTATTGAACTAGTTGAGCAGGACATTATTGATATAATTTCTATTCTCCCTGTGAACAAGGCCATAGGACCTGACAATATCAGTCATAAAATGTTAAAAGCTACCATTTTTAGCGTGTCTTTTCCCTTGTGTATTTTGTTTAACAGATCTTTAAGAGAATGTGTATTTCCTAAACAGTGGAAGGTAGCTAATGTACTTCCTTTATTTAAAAAAGGTGACCCATCATTATTGTCAAATTATAGACCTGTGTCATTATTAAGCTGCGTAGGTAAAATTATGGAGCGAGTTATTTTCAAATATGTTTATAATTATTTTCATTCTAACAATCTTTTTTTATAAATATCAGGCTGGTTTTTTACCAGGCCATTCAACGGTTTATCAACTTATTGAGACATATGATTATATAGTTAAAGCTATAGATGAAGGAAAACACTGTTGTATGTTTTTTTTGTGATTTGTCTAAGGCTTTTGATCGGGTGTGGCATAAAGGTCTTCTCTTTTAGCTACAAACATATGGTGTAAGTGATAAGTTATCACTATGGTTTCAAAGTTATTTAGATTTAAGAACACAAAGAGTATTGCATAGGAATACTATGTCTAGTTTTAAATCTTTACATGCCGGAGTCCCCCAGGGGTCTGTATTGGGGCCACTTTTATTCTTGAAATATGTCAATGATGTTGCTGAAAATTTGTCGACTTTAAGCAGTTTGTATGCTGATGATAATTCTTTACAGAAATGTTCAGAAAATGTACATGATATTCAATTAGAATTGAATAATGATTTAAATCAACTTGAGCAGTGGTCTAAACAGTGGCTATTGAAGTTCAATCCTACGAAAACAAAAGCCGTATTTTTTAGCACTAAGAAAAATGTAGATTTACCGTTTCTCAAATTTCAAGATTAGATTTTGTATCCTCACATAATCACTTAGGTATTCTCTTTTCAATCGACCTCACTTGGACAGCGTACATTGATACTATCGTGGCTAATGCATATAAAAAATTAGGTCTACTTAAAAAACTGCAGTTCAGGGTCAGTGCTAAAACTTTATCTCTTTTATATACTACTTTTATAAGACCTCAGTTAGAATACGCAACTGAAGTTTGGTGTGGGTGTTCTAGTCAAGATTCCGAAAAATTAGAAAAATTACAACTTGCAGCGGCAAGAATAGTCACTGGGTTAACTTCATTACCATCGCGAGATTCTCTTTATTTTGAAACTGGTTGGGAACCACTTGCTGAAAGACGAATTTCCAAAGTTAGAACAACTATGTATAAAATATATAATAACATGGTACCCGAGTATCTGAAAGATATATTTCCAAATATTCGATTGTATCATTTATATGTTTTGAATTGACCCCTTTTTGTGTATTACGTCATCAATTATGTGAAGGAACACAGAATTAAAAGCATGGACCCGACGCCATTCTTATGTTGTTTCTACAGGCTAATAAAAGCATTATAGGACCACCTTAACCTTAACACATGGTGTCAGAAGTTTACAATGGATAAACTGGAACCACCAGGAGTACTTTCGCTCACGGGGAACGTGGCAGAAAATTGGAAGAAGTTCAAACAGAGGTTTGATGTTTACATGACAGCTACAGGTGCGTCCGAAAAAGGTGACAAACAAAAATCATGCATTTTCTTACACGTAGAAGGAGAAGAGGCAGTTCAAGTTTATAACACCTTTGTATTTGATGAGGGTGATGAGTTTAAATTAAAGAAAATACTCGATAAATTTGAGGCGTATTGCACACCAAAACGCAATACTACGTATGAGAGACATAAGTTCTTCACGAGGGTGCAGAGGTCCGATGAGACCATAGACCAGTATGTGACGGAATGACGAACTATGGCAAAGAACTGTGAGTTTGGAGATCTAGCAGATTCTCTAATACGTGACAGAATAATATGTGGGGTCCCAGACAACACGCTGAAAGAGAGACTTTTACGAACAGTCGATCTAACATTAGACAAAGCACTGGCAACCTGTAGAGCAGCAGAGTCGACAAAGGAACAAATAAAAAGTATTGTCCCTCCTTCTGAAGTACATGCCATTGGGGGCAAACCCAAAGACAAAAAAGTTCGGGCATTTAAGCAAGGTAAAATTTGTGGACGGTGTGGATATGATGACTCACATAAGACTTGCCCTGCTATGGGTCAAATTTGCAATAAGTGTAATGGTGCAAATCACTTTGCAAAAGTCTGCAGATCAAAAGGCAAACAAAATAGTACTAAAAAGAAAATACAGAAAAAGAAACACATTCATGACATTCAGGATGAGCAAGCCTTCTTCATCGACGCTCTGGAGACAGTTCATTCCGACAAACCAGAGGAGTGGCGTGTAACTCTATATATACCAATGGCAAAGGAATCAACTACAAGTTGGATACCGGTAGTCAAGTCAACATCCTGTTGGAGAAACAGTATCACAGTCTACGATGGAAGCCAAAAATACACAAGACAAATATACAGCTTATGTCGTACAGCAAGCATAGTATTCCGGTCCTAGGAGCATGTGTTCTGGAAGTTTCTCATCAGGGAAAAGCAGCTAAGGTCTACTTTGTGATAGTTCAGGATGCTTCAACAGCAATCTTAGGCGTAAAAGCTTGCGACAAGTTAGGACTAGTGAAACGCACATATACCATAGAAAACTGCACAAAGATAACAGACACAACTGCACAGATTGTGGATCAAAATAATGACTTGTTCGAAGGATTAGGATGTTTACCAGGTGAACATAAATTATCCATAGATCCAGACATTACACCAGTAGTGAGTCCATGTCGTAAAATACCTTTCGCTCTACATGAAAAACTCCAAGATGAACTTAAACGCATGGAGGATATGGGTGTCATATGCAAAGAAACCGAGCATACAGATTGGGTGAGTCCGATTGTAATCGTTCCGAAAAAAGACGGAAAGATCCGCGTTTGTCTGGATCCAATTCAGTTGAACAAAGCGATACAGAGAGAACATTACAAGCTGCCAACGCGAGATGAGATTCATGCGAAGTTCAAGAATGCACACTATTTCAGTAAACTTGATGCTCGTACGGGATTCTGGCAAATGAAACTGGAGCAGAATTCATCAAAACTTACCTGTTTCAATACACCATTCGGAAGGTATCGATTTCTCCGTCTACCTTTTGGTATCTCATCAGCACCCGAGATATATCACAGGACAATTCATATGATATATGAACACATACCAGGATGCACGACAATGATGGATGACATCATCGTATGGGGTTCAACTCTACAAGAACACAACCAACGACTACAGCAAGTGTTTGATGCATCGCGCAAAGCAAATCTCAAACTGAATCGAGAAAAATGTGTATTTGGAGTTAAGGAACTTACATTTGTCGGTGACACTATATCCGCAGAAGGAATCAAGCCAGACGAGGCCAAGGTCAAGGCCATAACAAACTTTGAGACTCCAAAATGTAAGAAAGATGTACAACGCTTTTTAGGCATGTTCAACTACCAGGCAAGATATGTTCCAGACTTGTCGTCGAAAACTCAAGTTCTGCGAAATCTCACAGAGGACAAAAACCAATTTCAGTGGACTACAGTTGAGCAAAAATCATTCGATGAGCTAAAGGCCATATTAACAAGTACATCAGTTCTTAAGTTCTTCGACCCGAACAAAGAGATTAAAATCTCTTCAGATGCCTCTAGTTTTGGACTGGGAGCGGTGCTCCTACAAAGGCATGATAACGAGTGGATGCCAGTGGCATATGCGTCGCGAGTTATGTCTGATGCAGAAACCAGGTACGCGCAGATTGAGAAAGAAATGTTAGCCATATCATTTGCGTGTGAACACTTCCACCAATACATACTTGGACAGGTAGTAGAAGTGGAAACAGATCATAAACCACTTGTGAACATCTTTAAGAAGTTCCTGAATGACTGTCCACTACGATTACAAAGACTGCTGCTGAGGGTACAGAAATATGATCTACGTATTGGCTACACTCCAGGAAAATTTATGCATACCGCTGATGCGTTGTCCAGAGGAACGGATATGTCAACGAAACTGACCAAATCAGAACAGGAGGAGGATCTCAAAGTGTATGTTGACTCTGTCATTAAGAGTCTACCCATATCAGATCGTAAGCTACAGAAGATTCGTGAGGAAACTCAACATGACCCAAAATTGCAGTTACTAGCAGACGTAATTGTAAAAGGATTTCCCGAAACGCGCATTGAATGCCCTAAGGAAATATCAGAATACTGGAATATACGTACAGAGCTGAGTTTATGTGATGGAATCATCATGAAGACAGACCGCATTGTTATTCCAGTCTCATTGCGGAAGGAGATGCTTACCAAAATCCATACAGGTCACCTTGGTATCGGAAAATGTCGGAATCGAGCCAAACAAGTGATGTATTGGCCTGGAATGTATGCACAAATCGAGGAAATGGTGAATTCATGTTCAACATGTATCAAATTCCGTCCAAAACAACCGTCGGAACCGCTTAAACCACATGATGTATGCAATTATCCGTGGGAAGAAGTGGGTGCAGATTTGTGTGTATTCAATGGAGAAAATTATCTTGTGTTATGTGATTACTATTCCAATTATCCAGAAGTGTGTCGTTTGCATAGTGTGTCAAGTCAATCAGTCATTAATGCAATGAAATATGTGTTTGCAGGCCAAGGCATACCTAAGATAGTGTTCAGTGATAACGGACCACAATTCAAGTCAGCTGAATTCAGTGAATTTGCAAAGTCATATGATTTTCAGCATCATACGTCAAGTCCATTATACCCAAAATCGAATGGGTTAGTTGAAAAAAACCGTAGGCATTGTAAAAGGCCTATTGAAAAAATCAGCGGATGATGGATCAGATTTCCACATGAGTCTACTCATCTACCGTGCAACTCCTATACTCGATGGGAAATCACCAGCCGAAATACTGAACAATGGACGTAAACTGCGTTCGAACTTACCAATGGCTGATAGTTGCCGAGGAAACCATTTAAACGAGTCTTACGAAAGAGCAAAGATGCAACAGAAACTCAGACAAAAACAGTATCATGACAGAAACGCAAAAGAACTATCGCTGCTGAGTCCAGGACAAACCGTCCGTCTTAGGGATCATAATGACAAGGATTGGGGTAACTGTGGCAAGGTGCTCGACCAAGTTGCTCCGAGATCATACGTGGTTCAAAGCGAAAATGGACATGTATACCGCAGAAATCGCAGACATATTTTGCAGTCAAATGAACAATTTACACCATATGAACAATATGATTGTCAAAACAATGATAATGTTGATCATTCTAGTCATAATCCATGTGATACTGAAAATACTCAATCACTTAGTCAAGATATGTCTTTTTGTACCAATCATGTACCCACACAAAATATGTCAGGGACCACAAGGTCTGGTAGGTCAGTTAAGAAACCACAGAGATTAATTGAAGAGATTTAATTTGTTGTTTGTGGGACAGATTAGTACCATGAAAATTGGGTACGAGAGTAGGGACATAAAAATCTATGTCATTTGTTGTAAATTTTGGATTAGTTGTACTGTTTGTTTTTTACTTTGGAAATGCTAGTCAGTTGCATTATACAGACAATTTCTTAGTTTTATTTTGACATTATAGTTTCAGTGTTGTAATTTGTTCATGTTGAAGAAAACAAAACAAAACTGATAATGTACCAGGCTTCATTGTATTGTTACATACCAAATCCTAATTTTCAATAGAATTTAATGTTTTTACCTAATAATAGTTAATGTAAGGTTTCACATCTTTCAATATCTTGTAAATGTTATTGTAGCTCATGACTCAAATTTAAAAGAGGGAAGATGTATCATTTATATGTTTTGAATTGACCCCTTTTTGTGTATTACGTCATCAATTATGTGAAGGAACACAGAATTAAAAGCATGGACCCGACGCCATTCTTATGTTGTTTCTACAGGCTAATAAAAGCATTATAGGACCACCTTAACCTTAACACATCGATCACACGAATCAAATTACGTAACAAGACAGTTACAAAGTTATTGCATCCCAAAGTGTAGATTAAATATATATAAATCATCATTTGTTCCAATAGCAGTAAGGGAATGGAACTCTTTGTCTCTTGAAACACGACAATCTACTACTATAGGTTCCTTCAAAAAATGTGTAAACTCTCAGAGAACACCCACCCCGTCCTTTTTTACTTTTGGTGATCGTTACTGGAGTGTAATTCATACTAGATTAAGACACAATTGTGTTCTAAATAAAGACTTATTTAGATGTAATATTATTGACAGTCCATTATGCACTTGTGGAAAAATAGAAGACGCATATCATTTCTTTTTCTCTTGTTCGAAATACACCGCTCCTAGAAACGACTTGTTTAATGCTATTTTTAGAATGATTAACTTGCGTATTGTAGACACTATAGTTCTGTTATGAGGAGATAATTCGATCAGTATTTCTGAAAATGAAAGTTTATTTTTAAATGTGCAATTGTTTATCAAGAGATCTGGTCGTTTTTGAGTATTATGATTCGTTTGTACATACTACATCAAATTTAATTTCTGTACATGCATTACCTATGTTGAATAATCTTATTGACCTTTGGTTCCAGTGTAAATATTAATTTTTGAGCAAAACTTTGTGTAATTAATTGTTATAAAGGAGAGGACGTTCTAAGTATTAAGTACTTGTGTCCAATCCTTTTGTTGTAACATCTTAACAATAAAATATGTTCAAACCAAACCAACTAACTTAGCACCAATCTTGAAAATCATCCTGCAGAAATCTATTGATCCTGGGGAGCTACCAAAAGACTGGAGGGATGCAAATATATCAAGCATCTTTAAAAAAGGAGATAAACACCTTCCCGAAAACTACAGACCAGTCTCCCTAACCTCAGTCACATGTAAGATCTTGGAACATATAATCTGCAGGCACATCATGAAACACCTGGAAACAAATAATATACTTACCAACTTAAATCATGGCTTTAGATCAGGATACTCGTGCGAGACCCAACTACTAACAACACTCAATGATTTCCTTACTGAACACGACAAATCACATCAAGTCGACGTAGCCATCCTAGATTTTTCTACAGCTTTTGACACCGTACCTCACGACAAACTACTCCACAAATTACAGCAATACGGCATTCGAGGAACACTCCACACCTGGCTAAACAACTTTCTAACAAGGAAAATGAAAACAGTAGTAGAGGGAATAGAGTCTGAAGAAACATCAGTAGACTCAGGAGTTCCACAAGGCACAGTACTAGGCCCAATAATGTTTTTATGCCACATAAACGATCTACCAGACGCTGTAAATTCGTCTGTGCGCTTATTTGCCGACGATTGCCTCCTCTATAGAACCATCAGGAGCAACAAAGACCATCAGATACTACAAAATGACCAAAACCAACTAGAGGTCTGGGCAAATAAGTGGGGCATGAGATTCAATGCTAAAAAGTGCTACATCATGTCAATAAACCAGAAATCATCTAAACTGTACCAACTTAGCAGCCACATACTCCAAGAAGTTCAAAACAACCCTTACCTTGGGCTGGAAATATCAAATGATCTCAAATGGAGTCTGCACATAAACAACATCAGCAAGAAAGCAAATAACACCCTAGGCTTTCTAAGGCGAAATCTCCGGAACGTCCCTGAAGAATGCAGAAAAACAGCATACATATCCCTAGTTAGATCAATTATGGAATATGGAGCAACGATCTGGAACCCATACCTCAAAGGGGATATCGATAAGTTAGAAAGAATACAAAATAGAGCCATAAGATTCATAAAAAAGAACTACAGCAATAGGAACCCAGGATCACTAACATTTATGAGGAAAAGCCTTGATATAGAAACACTAGAAGAGAGAAGAACAAGTTTGCGACTAATTCTAATGTACAAAGTGGTTGAGGGGTTGGTACCGGCACTACCACCTCATCTATTCATAAAGAATACTAAAGAAAAACGTCAAATCAAGCCAAAACAGTACAAGGACCATCATACCACAAATATCGTACAAAAACATGTGTGCAATAACAACAAAGGATTAATAATTCCACCCAGTAGAACATTACAGTACCAACATTCATTCTTTGTTGAGACGTGCATTCAGTGGAACCACCTACCAAACTCCGTCGTGCATGCGAAAACCATAGAGGGATTCAAGACCGCCCTACAAGAACACCAACGCCAATAAAATCCGGCGTTCTCTCTCACCGTTGTATAAAAGCCTACATAGGCCTCTTCAACGTACCTATACAGATACAGAGATACAGATAGAAATAAAAAATATATTATGTTATATAAAATCTTCCGTTTAAAGTCGCCCCCGTGGCGCAGTGGTTATAGCGTCTGCTCTAGAGTCGTGAAGTAAGGAGTCAATCCTTACATGCATGTACTGCCATTCTTTGTCTACTGTGAGATGCCAAGACATTTTACTCCCATAATTAAGCGCATATCTAATTCAAACGCTTACGAGAAAACATAATGAAACCTCTTCACTTTGAATAATTCACTAGTGAGTCAGGACCATCTATCTCACGTATGGACACAAGTTCTAGCAGTATAAGGTATTACTCTGAGTTTTATTTCTATTTAACAATTCCTTCCATTGATTATAATCATTCATTGTTATTTCATTGTTAGAAATGTACGATTCAAATGTTCTTTTAAAGGATACAAGAGAAACAACAGATTTGCAGAGGCTAAGTTTACGTCATGAAAAGAATATAATTATTTGATAATGAGAGTACAAGTTTATATCACAGCTGAAAATGGACTACGCACGTGCGCATTTCCGATACAGTTAAAATTGATGAAAGCAAGGAAAATCATATTACTTTTAATAGACGGTCTTTTCATTTATTCTTTAGCAAAGATTAGAGCTTGGTCCATCTACACCCTACCTAAACACTAGTAATAACAATCAGGTATTAACATCGGTTAAATTGATAAATAAATTAAGGCATATATATTTTATAAAACATCTTATAGTTGCTTAAAGGTATGATGAATTTAATTTTAATTAATTAAAAACATCAGGGGAAGAAGGGTATGGAAATAACGAACAGTATTCAATCTCAACGTCCATTAAACAAATATACAAAATAAGAGCAGAGCAAACACGGACCTCCGAAACATCAGGGGTGAGATCAGGTGCCATGGAGGAGTGAGCATCCCCTGCCGACCGGTCACACCCGCCGTGTGCTCGTTGTCATTATCAGGATATAACGGAAAAAATCCGTGCTCAATTCAGTGTATAAATAATGGACTAACAATTGGTATGAAAAACGTCAGTTAGCATTTGACACAATGATAAATTGTATTTGCTGACTCATTGTATCGACCATAGAATTTACGAAATGATGACTTTAAACGAGACTGTTGATATTCTTGTTTCATCAACTTGCTTGTCAATAATTTACCTCGTTTAAGAAATTGTTCATACGTAGAGCATGCTCTAGCATATCGAATCAACTGAGATAAGAGATATAAATACTCCGTATGCAGGTGATGATGGTACATTGCTGCATAAGTAAGGGAAGTTGACGATAGAAAAGTTAAAGTCATCACGTTTATCATATAGCTTGGATGTTAGATTATCATTAGTGTCCTTTTCAAGTGAAATATCCAAGTATGAAGCAGAAGTGTCGGACTCGGTGGTATCTTTTATCTCAAACTCACCAGGATATATCGTGTCGACGTAGGAATGGAAATTATCATTATTAATTGACAATACGTCGTCGATATATCTAAATGTCGAGTTGAAGGCCACAGCAAGTGTTTTCTTCTTTTCACGTAAATGATTTTGCATAAATTCTGCTTCATATGAATGTAAAAATAAGTCTGCTAATAACGGAGCGCAATTTGTACCAATAGATTGTTGGAATACCTGGTCTCCAACAAGAGGCCCATGGGCCACATCGCTCACCTGAGAAGCTTTGACAATTCTGTCCTTTACTAGATTTACCCCTTGTAATACATATTGTGACCCCATCCTAACCAAATGATCATAATTTAGACAATTTGAAATCTACACTACCCCAGGATGCTTCCATATAAGTTTCAGCTTTTCTGGCCCAGTTGTTATTAAGAAGAAGATTTTCAAAGATTTTCCTATATATTTCTATGTAAAACTTTGATTCCCCATTGTGGCCCCGCCCAATTCCTGGGGGTCATGATTTGAACAATTTAGAATCTACACTACCCCAGGATGCTTCCACATAAGTTTCAGCTTTTCTGGCCCAGTGGTTCTTGAGAAGAAGATTTTCAAAACTGTTACATATATTTCAATGTAAAACTTTGATTCCCCATTGTAGCCCCGCCCAACCCCCGGGGGTCATGATTTGTATAATTTAAAATCTTGACTATCCCAGGATGCTTCCACATAAGTTTCAGCATTTCTGGCACAGTGGTTTTCGAGAAGAAGATTTTCAAAGACTTTT